ATTATTTTCATTCATCCCAAAGGTTCGTGTTCAGACCTGTAAGTTGTGTAGGTTGAAGTATATCTTCTTAATGGTTCTTTTGAAAAATTGTATATGCACATACAAAACCAAAAAGAACCCCAAATACGTAGCATGAAGTTTAGTCGCTTCAAGAAGCATAAACTTTGCTTTTATATGCTTATTGAATGATAGGGACATAATGTAACACCCTAACTTGAACAGTCTCGTGGACTATTCCAAATTAGAGACTTAAGAGAAAATATACTAATTTCTTATAAAAACATCATATAAATATTTATTTAAAATAACGGAAATGAGATTAAAATACAATATCTTTCTGAACATAACGTCATAAAAAAATACAAACTTTTTATTCAAGCAAATAAAATAAACACATAACCGTATATATTTAAACGGATTTAATTGCCATGTCCTGCACTTCCACTTGTTCTAGCTACATCACCTACGCACAGTAAAAACCAAAAATACTGTACGCTCAGCATATATGCTGAGTGGTACAAAAGAATATAGGACGGAGTCTTGTAAAAATATAATTTTTACGAAAATCAATATCTTACATTTACAGAATGAATTTCCATATATGAAACTACATAGTTATAAGTTTGATAAAAACTTTTCAAAAGATTTTATCCAAACTACTGAGATACAAAATATTTAATCTAACAACATACACCCGGGGTCTCCGAATGTAGCCCTGAGAAATACTGCCTTTTGGGCATCTGATATGCACATATTTTATACACTTTTTAGACATATTTTGAAAGAGTTTTGAGTCCCAATTGAATTCAATGTTTACATTTTATTTCATTTTTTCGTTTTATTTGGGTAGAGCGGTCCTATGCTTGGTTTTATATGTTTTGCAAGTATTTTGAGGCCATTTGGACGCATTGAGAACAATTTCAAGAACGGAAAATAAACATTGAAGTTTGGGACCAAAATAAATGGAAGAGATTTGAAGGAATGCAGGAATTAAACAAAAATAAAGCATAAAACGGCCCTGGGTTTCAAACTCTGGACGTGCGCATGTGGAACTGGAGCTCTGACCATCACGACACAACTGGTTATTTGGCTTGTCACGGGCAGACAAAGATAATGTTCTATATTGAAATTCGGCCATTGATTGAGAGAAAAATGACAAAACACCGACACTCCAGGGGATCAAGTGGCGAGACAAACAACCTCATTTCCATGTGGGCTACTGTAGCTTTGTTGACATTTTTGGGACTGTTCGTATATAATATACTCCGTATATACGAATTTATCTATAAAATCCACCCCTTCTCTTCTTCTAGGAGGTTAGAACCCCCCACTTCTCTACTCTCTCTATTTCGAAATTTTCTTCCTCCCTCACTAATATCTCACCATTTTCTTTATCCAAACACATAAAAATTACTCCATCTTCATCATCATCTATCATATTTGGAGCTCAAGAACACACCTTCCATTTTGTAAGATTTTTATGTTTGTAATAAATATTTATTTGTTTAAGTTTCAAACTATAAACTTCTAAATTCCATTGGGGTTAGAAGTTGGTGTAATTAATTGTCCATCTTAATGTTTTAAATATTTTTAACATGGATTGTTGATTTTATTTTTACTTAGATGTTGTATTTAAAAATAAACAAAATTTGGAATGTTTGTGATTTTTAATTAAGGGCTCAATCATAAACATAATTGTTAAAAAGAATTTGAGTTAAAATTGAAATAATCATAAAATAGAACACTTTTTAATTACACCGTAAGCCTTCTCTACCTTTAACCGGGATTGAAGATTTTCGGGTGGACATAATTATTGAGTTGTATTTTTACACCATTAAATTGGGTAAACATACAATAAAATAATTATGGTTGCCATTGTTACTAAATAATTACTCCGGATTTATCATTAGCGTGTTAAAGTCGGAGTGGTTATTATTTAGGTGAACTCCGAGAGCGTCCCTAAATACTTTTCTGCAACCCCACACATTCTATATAAAAATAAATTTACAATCTAACTTTTATAAAAACATTGGATAATTAATTTACCAATTTTTACCCCTAACTTTTCATCATCAAAAACTTCGTGTTGTTTGGAACTCTCTCTTTTTACACTTTTTATTTTATCTCTAAAACCAAAAAGACCAAAAATATATTTTACAACTTCTTTTGTAAACTTTTGTCAAAATTAAATTAACTCACGTCTCCCTCAGGTTTGACACCCTACTTACAAGGGTTCTTTTTAGTTGTTAGTTTTGCCCGTTCTATACTGCAAATCAGCATCATTCTTACAACCTTGGCCAATGGTTCTATATATGTATACGATGAGCGGTGATAGGGGTCTCCTTCCGTTGCTCCGAAATAAAAGTTTACGATGATTTCAAGTTGTTCAAACTTATGATAATATAAAAATTTGAATATTATTCCCCATGTATCAAATCATTTTTATAAATCAATATTTTATAATATATCACTTTTAAAACTTTAATTTCAAAAGTGTTAAAAAATATTAATTTGAGAATAAAATACTACTTTGTATATTTTTTTTAGAATAACTTTATATCATACAAAGAGTGTTTTTTAAATGATTTTTACAAATGTAGTAGTTGAACGGGAAGTCCGTGCAATATGATTTTGTACATACCTCGAGTTCGAGAGAGAAAGTAAAACGGAGTTGTTGAACACTAGTAAGGAACCAAGACTCTAGAGGTGTTATCGAGCTTTACCGAAGAACAAAATGATAGCAAAAAGTGTCTCAATATCTTGAAGAACACTTTTAAAAAAACGTAGAATTTTTCGGAAGAGTTTTCTTACCTTAAACGGGCTCTAAACGAACTCTTGTTGGCTCTAACTTCTTCTAGTCTTTCGGGAAGAGGTTTGGTAGTGTACTGGGAGTAAAATAACTTAAAATTTTCATGGCTATATAGGCTAAAAATGTGAAGAAAGTTGATGCAATATTGATAGGAAAGAATGGAGAAAAATGAATAACTTTTGGGTGGTATTTATAGGTAAAAATTTGTAGAAACAACCAATAAAGATTACCTCAACTTGATCATGATAATTTAGATTATTTTTGGAGGATTTTAACATCATAAAATCAGGATCATATCAAAAAAAATTAAGAGAAGTGTAAAACTCTTCAAATATGTCATCAACATCCATTAAAAATATTTTAAGAATATTTGATTATGTTTGGATTGATATGGAGTAATTTAATGTGATTAAGTAACTTAAAAGACTCCAAAATAGCTTAAAAATAGATTCCCAATTTGTTCCAATAAAAAATTGATTAGGGAAGAGTTTGGATATAATTTTTGTGAAAGAAGAAAAAAATATTCCATTGCTCAAAGTGGGATTCAAACTCTAGTGGCATAACTCACACTTTGCATCAACTTCAACTTTGCTATGCAACTTCTCATTCACAATATTGATTTTTAATGAACTTATTCCGTATTTCACAGTTTTTGTGGCCCAATTCTATTACTTAGCCCAAAATTAAATTAAGTTGGATCCAATTCCAACTAATATTCCTAAACCATTTTTATAAGAATAAAATTTTTTAACTTTGATTCCAAATATATTTTATTATTTTTGGATTATCAAATTAATTTATTTAATTTTAATTTCTTTCTCCTTTTTTATTATTTTTAACTAAATCTTTCTAGGCCATATTTAAGGATGTTACACACAAGGCAGATAAAAAAAGTGTCAATAAAAACAAGGAGTATGCTGAACTCATGTGTATATTATCCCCATGTATTCAAGCGAATAGAAAGGGTTCAATCCTTAGCGACACCCGGACATTCGAGTATTTAGAATGTGTAATATACTAGATGACACTAAAACAGAAGAGGATTGTTTGCGATTTTAGTGTCATCGGGTTATTTTGGGTAATTGGATTTACTTAGTGAATGAGCATTAAATAATAATAACTATTGAAACGAGTTAGGAGGTGTGGAGTACACACTCGTTTGATTTTATTATTATTTGGAACAAAATGGTTAGCCAATTCAAATAGGCAATTGCCTATTCAAATAGGTTAGTGTGAAGTGTGAGGACCTATTCGAATAGGTCTTTACATATTGGAATAGGTCAGAATCTTATATGCTAACATATTGGAATAGTTGTTTGACCTATTGCAATAGGTCAGGACTTAACCTATTCAAATAGGTGCTAACCTATTTGAATAGATCACGTAAGAGATGTGTCTGATCCTTCAAAAACGATCTTCTATTCAAATAGGAAGTATGCTATTTGAAGAGGTACTAAACAAACCCAATGTTTAAGTTAAAAAACATGTCCAATCAGTGCTTTGCCTATAAGTTGCTATGCTTATGGCCTATTTCGGTAGAACAACCAAGAACAAGTCAAAGTGACTACACTCTTCTTCTAGAAAGCCTTCATACTTATTTTTTTAACATTAACATCTTATCCGATTAAAGTATTTTGGTTTTCTCGAAATAGCTTCTCTAAAAGTTATTCTTTTAAAATTTTGTAAGCATATTAAGTACCTTTTTTGTTGCACAAACATATACCACCAATCCTCCAATAGAGATGTTGGTAACAAAACTATACCAGCTGCTTGTAGAGGTGAACAAGCTAGATAAGATGCACAAGAGTCCCCATTGGGATGTGATCGCGACTAAGACGGACATCAATAATTTTTTGATGAATTAAGAAGTAGTTGGTGCGATCGCGATTGGAGTGCAAGTCTGGTGCCAGTAGTCGCGGTAATTCCAGCTCCAATAGCGTATATTTAAGTTGTTGCAGTTAAAAAGCTCGTAGTTGGAGTTTGAGATGGGTTTGCCGGTCTGCCTCATGGTGTGCATCGTTGAACTTGTCTCTATTGCTGGTGATGTGCTCCTGGTCTTAATTGGTCGGGTCATGCCTCCAGTGCTGTTACTTTGAAGAAATTAGAGTGCTCAAAGCAAGCCTACACTTTGTATACATTAGCAAGCCTACGCTCTGTATACAACTAGGCTAAAGACAAACATTCCGCTACGAATGAACGTCTAGACAGACACCTTGACAAAAGAGGTGGGCTAAAACTGGCTCCGATACCATGATAGAATTTATGATGAGGTAAGGATCACTGGATTGAGGCATAAGACACTTGAGTTGAACCATATTAAAAGATTGAATCCAATGTATTAGTTAGTTTAACTTAAGAGCTTCTATACAGATTATTTAACCTTACCTCATCCTAAATCCTATTATGGTATCGGAGCCTTGCTGACTAAGAGGTCACGGGTTCAAAATTTAGCGTCACACAGTTTTTAAAAATTTTAATATTTCACGTCACTACTACAAAAACGAGCAAATAAATCCCCTCATTTGCATCGCTAAGCAAAACAAATGATGTAAAAGGAAAAAAAATTCCGCGTACCACTTTGCATTTGCATCGGTTATCCTTAATAACCGATGCAAAAGGGTATTTGCATCGGTTATTAGGAATAACCGATTCAAAGACTGAAAACCTTTTGAATTGGTTATCCCTAATAACCGATGCAAATACTCTTTTGCATCGGTTATTAGGGATAACCAATTCAAAAGGGGCTGTTATATTCAGCCTCCAAATTCTTATCCTTACGCGATTTTGAAAAAAACCTCCCCAAACCCTTCACTGTATTTCCCGATGCCGTCATCGTGCCTTGGCCGTCACCTCGCTCGCCGTACCTCGCTCGTCGTCACCGTAACTCGCTCGTTGTCGCTCCAAGCTTTACCGTCCGTCGCTCCAAGCTTCACCGTACCTCGCTCGCCGTCTCCGTACCTCCTCACTCTTGCATTCACCTCAAAACTCCAAATCACGCCATTCTTGCCGTCTGGTCATTGTCATCCCCCTCGCTCACCGTCGTCGTGCCTCCAACCCCTCGCCGCCATCTCTTCCATCACTGTGCCGTCGTCGTGCTCCTCTACCCTCACCGTACCTCCCTTCACATTTTCTTAAGGTATTTTTTTAATATTTCACTTTAAATTTTTAATTATAGTATTATTTATTTATATATTTTTATATGTATTTGGTGATTATTTTTTTATTTCAAGTGGTAAATATAATTTTTATTTTTATATTTCAAGGATTATGGATAGATGGGGGAAAGAAAAAGTTAAAATAATGATTTAAGTATTTTTTCTGTTTATATTGATAATTTCCATTCGCTGGTTTGTCTACCGAGACGGGTTCTTAGCTCAGACGGGAGGACTCTTGGTTTCGAGGTCACACCCCGGGGAGGCAGCCAGAAGTTACGGACCTTGCACTGATGGAGATTCGTGATAGGATAGTAAGCATATAATCTACAATTACGTCAATATATTTGTTTATTACTTGTTTATTATTTGCTTACAATTTCATTACTTCTTTTCTTTCTTAACTGTAGGTCTAGCTAGCTATAGAAAGATGTCGCAGCCGGTACCTTTGTGCCAGATGGGCACAATGATGTACTGACTAGAGCTTTAGGGACTGCCGAGCACCCGGGGCGGACGAGGGGTGTTGGGTCATATTCCGGCTTACGTAAAGTTTTCAAAGGCAACATGAAGCCTCGTAAGCCTGAAGGTAACTATATGACTCAGGAGGATCTTTTGCAGCGTCTTCCTTCCCTTTTGCAGCAGTATGTAGTATCTGTGTCCGGGGGTGCTCCAGACTTTGCATCCATGTCGCAGCACACACATTCTGTAGCACCTCATTATGGGCAGCGTAGTAGCAAGGCATCTACAGTTTGTTGACTTCGCCGATCTCACTGATGTACACATATTTTTAAATTTAGGTTTCAAGTTCTGTTTACGTTTACTTGTTTCCGACATTAGTTTATTAATTTTTTTTTGTAGGTTGCTGCTTGTTACTTGAGGATCTCTGATCCACCTGATTATATAGTGGCACATGGATCGGTTTTCCCATGTGCACCGGGAGATGTGGTGCACAGTGCTCCCCTCCTTCCTCACCAGGTTAAGGTCTCTGTATACCATTCCATGTCCGACTGAGCATATAGAGACTGTCGCCGATTACGAGGGGAGCTTCGTTGCATGACCAAAGTCGTTGGTGGGCCTTGGAGATGTAAGAAGTAAATAAACTTAGTTCATTTTTATTCAACATCATTTGGGCTGTGTTTCATATATTATTTTTTTGAAAATATTCGTAGCCCCTGGTGCACACGGCTCGACATGGTGACTTCTCATCAAGCAAATCTTGTCCTATTCTCGGCGTACGCCCCACTGCTCCTCCTAGCTCTCCCGTACAGGATGTTGACCGGAGCTCATATGTCTCATTCGGGCCGAGGTGCAGAGAGGTTTGTCAGTGGCTAACACGCACATCTACTTTGCCTACTATCAGCGTCATTCTTGATCCGGAGTGCATGCTCTATCCGGAGGAGACGAAGCTGAGGATGCGTCTGGAGAATATACTTGAGTTCATGCGATGGGAGGTGGTCGATCAGACCATCATCATTGTTTTTTTGAGGTATGTCAAGAACTACGTACGAATAAATTTCTATTGTTAATTATAATTATTTGTTATAATTGTAATTATTATTTAACTGTGAAATTACTAGATTATTGCATGATCATATGATGGAGCACGACATCAAGACTATCGGGTTGTTATGTCTGGAGAACATGGCTTATGTCGTTGTATCTATCGATATCGTATGTTTTCTAAACCATTTCCAATATGTATTTCGGTTTTTTATTTTAAGTTAGTGACTAACGCTTTTTCAATTGTAGGCATCATTGGGTGTTGTAATACGTTTTTTTGAAAACAAAGTGTATATCCTAAACTCAATCAAGGCACCAGAGGGCATAATAAAATGAAGGTGAAGACTTTCGTCAACGAGTAAGTATTAAGAAATTTATTTCTTATTAATGAAATTCTTTATTTGTTAAGATATTAATTTCTTATTGATTTGTTTTTTACATATATTAAAGGTCTTGGAAATTACTTCAGGAACGGTACATGCCTCAGCTTAAGGCTCGACCGGATTGGGTTGATGTTCCCGGAGTACCTCAACAAGTAGGGGGCATTGAGTGTGGTTACTATACCATGCGATGAAGTGTTTATCATGTGTTCACAATGTTCTTTACCGTTATCCGATGTAAGTTTATTTTAGTGTGTTTTTGAAAGTAATGAAGTGTTTATCATCATTTTTCTTTTTTCATAGATTATTAAACTTTATGTTGTATGTTGTTTTCGTATTGCAGGTGTTGGGAAAAATATTATAGATTTTGATGATGATGTATTTAGATTGTAATAGGAACTTTAGGTCTCCCCCAATATTCAATGTAATTTTTCTTTTTAGAAATATTGTTAAAACCGAGTTCTTGAGATTTCCAATAAAGTTGTGATATTTCACTATGTGGTTTGATGTCAATCTTTGAAGACTTAATCAAATTCAGTGATATGGAAATTGGAATTCTTGATCGGAAATGTCAGAGACAAGTAAGGAATTCTCAAAGCAGTTGGTTACTTTGAAGATTCTCTAATCCGGAACACTCCACAATAACCGGATGTCTCGCAACAACCCGCTGAAGGCTAAGTCATCCGGATTGGAAGACTAGCGCGGATCTCTTTCTCTCACCTGGAAGTCTATGAATGACTTTTCCGGAATTGTCAGCGAAGAATCGGATGCCTCAAGAAAGACCGGAATTCTCAGAAGCAGACAAGTGAGAAAAAGACTTAGAAAATTATTTAAGTTTTGAATGATGAAATTCTACTCGTTGGTAAGGAAAAATCAATCTCTTGATTTTCAACGGCTAGATTAAGGATAATTAAGCTGATTCAAGAACAAATGACTTGAAGACAAAGTCTAAACTTCTCAAATTAAAGAGCTTGCCCAGAATTCCTAAACAAGCACTAGAAGACAAACTGAGTACTCTACTCAATAACTAGCTACAGTCTAGAATTCTTGAACAATAACTAAAAGACGGACTCTGTGAAAAGGGAATCTTTTCTCAAACAATTGGGTATGTCCAAACACCCATTCCAATGAAGAATCCTTAATCTCACTCTTCGTTCAAAATTGAAGCCAGCAAATGCAACGGATAGTCTATTTCCTTCAACGGATAGATTGTTCACCCAGCTATATATAGCCTCCACGGAAGACTGGAGAAGTATGAAGAATGAGATAGCGAACAAAACTACAACAACGATGAACTAACACTATCTCATTCACAGTTAACCAAAAAGCTTGATAAAGAGAGATTTCTAAACTCCTTATCCAAAAGCAAACTTCTCATCCTTCCAAAGAGCTATAGTGTAGACACTTGAAGGTTTCCTTGCCTCAAGTACCACACCACGTTGAAGGATACATCTTTTAATCAAACTTACTGATTAAAAAGGGGGTATATCAACTTTCCTACAAGTTGATCTTGCAAGTCCTATTGTTCGGATCTTGCAGTTGTTGAAGAAGAGTGACCTTCGAAGGAACAACACAGCCAGCACGTGTGCAGTAGAAACATTGGTCTTGCAAAGATATACTGTGCAGAAATTCACATAAGTGTAATTGTTGGTTCATTATTCAACAACCAACTACATAATGGATTTTGAGGACGTGGAAGGATTACCCCACCTTCGAACCTCGTTAAAGTTTGCGTGTCTCCCTCTTTTATCTTTACTCATACTTGCAATTATATTAACTGTGAAACTAACTCATCCATATTGATTACTGCTCTATTAACCCACCAACTTCCGCACACAATCTAAGGTTCACAAGAACTCTAGATTAACATTCATTTTCACGTTTTCAAAAGAAACGAAAAACTTTTTAAATTGTAACAAAGTCTATTCACCATCCTCTAGACTTTGTATCTCAACACTTTGGGACCACCAGCAGGTGTTTCAGTCTACTTCGCCTTATATTAGAGCCGAATTAGAAGAGGTTAGAGAGTTTTGGGCGGAGGGTTTTCTCAATGAACTAGTGTAAGTTTTGTATTGTATTGTATAGTATTAGTTGTATGTTAGAAGAGTGTAGTTGTTTGACTCGTAGTTGTGATGTTAAAACATAGTTTGTAAATGTTGATATTTTTAAGATGTACAAGTAGTGATGGATGCAAATGTTTACTTTTTTTGTTTAATTTGTTTTGTGGCATTTGGGTTTTGTGAATGTATTTGTGTTCCTTGTTGGTTTGTGTTAGTTGTTGTGTTGATGGGTTGAATTGTTGTTGTTGTTGAATCTGTATATATTTTGCACATAATTCTGTGCAAAATTGAAAATGTAGTGAATTGGAAGCAGACAAAATAAACCTTTTGAAAAAAATTCTCTTTTACATCGCTTATTTGGTAATAACCGATGCAAAAGCCTCTTCCCAGAAATGGGAAAGGGGTTTTTGCATCGGTTATTACCAAACAACCGATGCAAATGCTTAAGCATTTGCATCGGTTATTACCAAACAACCGATGAGCATTTGCATCGGTTATTTCCAAATAACCGATGCAAATGCTCCTACCCAGATATGGCGCCAATTCTGGGAAGAGGTTTTTGCATTGTTTTTAACAACCGATGCAAAAAAAACCCGAGTATTTGCATTGCTGGCTTTTTTATCGGTTCAAAACCGATTTAAATCGGTCAAAATAACCGATTTAAAAAGTCTTTTTTGTAGTAGTGCGTGCAAGGTTTAAATAAATTAAAAGGCTATGACTGCATGCGGGGGGACTTGTTAGAATAAAAAAATTTCATGGACGACAACTACAAAGTTTAGCTTTTTGATTGAGTAGGTTTTTTGACACCATAGCATTTAAGAGAATCACAGTTATACGATTTGACGACGAACCGCAACTTCTTTGCCTCATTTTTTGTTAATTGTCGAGCATTTCTGGAAAAGAGCAGGAGAGAAGTACATGAAATAATTGTGAGGTGATCAGGTGAACCACTACCACACGTTTATTTACACGAAGTGCCTACCCGCCACAAAGTACCAACCCATTTCTGCCCCATAGACAACATTAAGCGTTCCAGCCAAATATACCAAATACTCCGTTTAAATTGTACTCGGTGAAACAAAGTTTTCACAATCATGTACTCGTATTTATTTTTAAAAAATCACTCCTATTTAAGTAGCTAGAAAGATTTTTAGAAAATCCACAACTACAATAAAGCCTTATCCCATTAAGTGTCACCCTCCCAAACCATCTAAGACGTATTTCCGTGCGCATTAAAATGTCTTTTAACACTCTAAGGGTGTACGGTATGCACAAAGTATAAGGATTTTGGTACCAAAATTTGCCTATGTTGCATCTTGGCAAAGAGGGCAACACCACTCCCATCCTTTTGGTATCAAATCAAATCGTTAAGAGAGTCTAAGCATTTGTCGAACATACTACATCTTGCTCTACTTTTTATTTACATTTATAGCAGTATTATTATAATTGATATTGAACATATTATTTTAAAGGGTATTGTTATATCCGTCCCTGTTATGGCTAAATTCATCTCATTTATAGTAAAATGGACAACTTTGTCTTCAAAACACAAAGAAGGGGTACTAGATCTTAGCTAACTTTTAGGGAAAATTTATTCATTTAACATAAATGGCGTGTAATTGGCCATTATGGAGTGGATATAGTAATACACTAATACCATATTTTAAATTAATTAACTACAATACACACACACACTCCATCCTAAAATAACGTTCTCATTTAACTCTTTAAGGTCAAAGTTAAAAAAATTTGACCATAAAATTTTTAAAAAAATGTAATGAATAAATTCATAAACTAAATATCATTTTATTTGTCTTGAAATGACATTATGAAATATCACATTTTTATTAAGAACATTAATGTATTCATCAACAACAAAAATGTTTGAGAATAGTCAAATAAGAACATTATTTCACAAAATTAATTTTTAATCTATGACTTGTTTTGTTTTTTGTACAGAGTATGCTACATTGCTACTCCCTCCGTTTGCAAAAAAGGTTCCTTACTTTGACATGGAGCCAAAATAAGGAGATGTTAAATTAGAGTTGACTTCCAATTTTGCCCTGATGTGATGGATAAAACTAAGATGTGATGGATAAATTATTAGAGAAAAAGTATGATGTGATATGTAGGGTATGAAAAAGAAAGGATAAAAGTGGTTTTTAATAGAAAGTGGAAGTGTTTTGTTGGAAGTAAAAAATGAAAGAGGAAGTGTTTTGGAAAACGGAGGGAGTATATTTTACTCTGTATTTAGTATTGTAATGGCGTTTTTCCAAAGATTATGCTATTTCTTATTTGTATTGTAATATAAATTTAATTTAATGAGGGTCATCTAATTTTTAATAAATGTTTTGTGTATATTTGACCTTTTTATTGAGGATATTTTAGTAAACTTTTACTTTTTTTCAACTATTCAAAAAAAACACAAAAGAAAACACAAAGGTTCAAGAAAGATGTTAGGGGGAGGGAGTACGATGGAAGGACAAGTAAAGTTGCCTAGGCATTAAAAAAAGGAAACATCTCCCACAAGCTACAAAACAAACAGCGGTTCCCATATAATAAACCCCCTCTTTGAGACACTCATCACTTCTTTAAACAAAAGAACCAAGTTGATAAACCCCGAGAAAGTGTACGTGCAGTCATGAGTGAGGAAGGTAGAAGCCCTAGCGTTTTAATGTTCCCATTCTTGGCTCACGGCCACATCACTCCCTACCTGGGACTGGCCAAGAATCTCTCCCACCGGGGTTTCCTCATCCACCTATGCTCCACCCCCGTCATCCTCGCCTCCGTCAAGAACATGATCCCGGAGAGGTATTCGGCTTCGATACGCCCCGTGGAACTCCACCTGCCGCATCTCCCGGAACTCCCTCCCCATTACCACACCACCAACGGCCTCCCGCCCCACCTCCAGCCCACCCTCCGGAGGGCATTGCGGTTGTCGAAGCCGAGTTTCTCTGAGATCATGCGCGCCCTCAAGCCCGACCTCCTCGTCCTCGACTTCCTCCAGGTCTGGGCCGAAGGGGTCGCGCATGATCTCCGCATCCCCACCATCCGGTTCTACAACGTTTGCGCCGCCACATCCTCTTACATTAACTTCACCACAATAAGTGGCTCGGAAGACGCCTTTCCGTTCCCAAGCATTCGCCTGGATGGGCACTGGGAAACCGTCTTCCGAGCTTCCGTGAGGCACATCATGATGAGCGAGAGGGGCCCGGAAGAGAGCCTCTCGAAGCCACAAATGGTTTTGATCAGTAGCTCAACGGAAATGGAGCCCGAGTACATACAATACTACTCCAAGATTATCGGATGCAAAGTCATTCCGATCGGGTTGTTAGCCCAAGACCAAACAAAGGAATCCCCGCAAAACACAGGGGAGATCTTGGATTGGCTCGAGACGAAGGAGGAAGGCTCGGTCATGTATATCTCATTTGGGAGCGAGTGTTTCTTGTCCAAAGAAGAAATCGAGGAGATGGCCCGCGGGCTAGAGCTGGTGGTGGGGGCCGCCACCAGCAAGGTGAACTTCATTTGGGTACTAAGGACCCCAAATGGGAAAAACATGGATGTTGAAGAATCACTCCCCAATGGATTTGTAGAAAAGATGGGGGAGAGAGGAAGGATAGTGAAAGAGTGGGCCCCACAGGTGAAGATTCTCAGCCACCGGAGCGTGGGTGGGTTTCTGACACACTGTGGGTGGAACTCAATAATGGAGAGTCTCAACTTCTCCGTCCCGATCATCGCCATGCCCATCCACGTCGATCAACCCGTGAATGCCAGGTTTCTAGTGGAGAAGGGCCTGGCAATCGAGGTCACGAGGGACGGAGGAGGAAAGTTTTCAAGGACGGCGATAGCTAGGGCGGTGGAGGAGGCTTTTAGTGGGAAGAGAAGTGAGGCATTGAAGATGAGGGTTAAGGACATGAGCATTAGGTTAAAGATGAAACAGAGTGAGGAGATGGACAATGCTGCACAGGAATTGAGAAAACTTTGTGCCCAAATATAGAGAAAGTGTAGTTTGATTTAAATTATTTACAGCCAATTGCCAAACAATAATCGTACTTCCTCAATTTTCTTCCCATTTGAGTTTATTGATCGGTGTTGTTAAGGTTTTTCAATGCACATTAGATAAAACAATATACACTACAACAAAAAAAAGTACTTTTGTCACACTTATTTTGTTGGGCTAATTAAGGGTGCTAAATGATTCATTGATACTCACCATACTTCTCGGCAATTCATAAGTGATAAGACCATGCCTAGTGGGCACTAGATGTTGAGAATGTAGGAGAATGGTATGGAGGAAGAACGCTGCAGATCAGAGCAGCGTTAACGAAGAATGAGAAGTAGAATAAGTTGATCTGATAGAGTATAATGAATCGCGTAAAAATGCTTTACGATCAAAGTTATTTTGGAATATACGAAATACTTTAATCGGATAAGACATTAATCAACAACAAGTCTTTCAAATCGTATCTTCAACCATACCCGAGTGTCTCTATTTATAAAGATGACAATTGACTTTCGCGTAAAAGTTTGCAAACTTTCATGTTGTAGGGATAAACGTAGACTTTCGATTTTTGGACACAAACGTTCATGGAGTTTGGTCATAATCAGTCTTTATCTGAAGATGAACCCAATTATATTAAATTTATATTGTAATTAAGTATATTTTTATCACAATTTGTAATAAAGTTGTGTCACTGTTAAACAAAAAAATCAAAACAGGAAATGTCTTTTGAACCCGAGGGAGTATAAACTTACGTATATTTATATAAGTTTTTATAGATATCAAATACTTATCTTTTTTAAGTGATGCATTCTAAATTTTTTACAATTCATTACATTGTTAAATATATCTAAAAAGTACAAAGGAATGGAAAATTAAGATATTTAATACATGTATTTTGATATTTAATTATTTTTAGTCCAAACTGCAAGTGCTAATATGAATTTAAATATTCTAAAAAAGAATTCACAATTCATTGTGTTGATTTGAACTCGATGATACTAGGTCATAACACGTAGTAATCAATCCAAACTCGAACTTAATTGAATGTGATGTAACCTGAATAAGAAATGATCGAACTCAAATCAAACCTCAAACCTGAATGACTAATTTGCCAATTTTATAAATGACTACGTGAGTATAGGACTGTTGGACATGAGTTCAAACCCCTTTACTATTTCTTCTGGAATATTTTTTTGTTTTGATGAATGACAAACAGGATGATTAATTTCAAGCTGATCGAAAATTTATTTTCGTATCGAGAAAAGCAAAGAAGGGTATCAAGAAGTTTACGGCGATAAAAATCGACGATCACCCCTACGCAGATTTTTTTGAAGTGAAGTGAAGACTCCGAAGACTAGTTTATTTTTTAAGTCTAGGAATTTTTGTAAGGATGACAATATTTTCTGCACAAACGAATTAATTTCTGAGGGATAAAAATAATTATTTTTGAGTCAGTTGAAAAATTACTTTTCCTCTGTCTAAAATATTTTAGTGAGTCAGTTTCAAAATAAGTGTGTCAAAATTTCTTTTTTTTTAAGATTACACAATTTTTTTTTGGTAAGAAAAATATAATTTAAATATTTTTCGTGTACATCGTTTGACACATAAAATAATTTTTGGACTCTTTTTCTCTCCCCTACTCAAATTCATTGAATAGGAGGAGCGTCCGTTGATATTCCCGTTGTCCCAAACAACGAGTTAAAAGCCAAAGGCTTCCAATCGCACTTGGCTTGGGCCCTTCATGTTTGTGCATTATTTTTTCACTTTAATCGATTAATTTATCTAAAATAATCGATTAGATCCAATTTCTCAGCGCTGGATTTCTCATGCCAATAGACTTAATCGATTAAATTTGTCCATTTAATCGATTAGTTTAAACAGAGCAAGGTAATCGATTTTTCTCTCTTTTTTAATCGATTAATTCCACCTTTGCATTCAAGCCTTTTCGCTTCTGTACACTTTAATCGATTAAAGTCCCTAATTTAATCGATTAATTCTGTCTGGTGCCTATTCTTAGTTCTTTTCA